CTCCTCCTTGGTCAGATCCATGACCCATGAGAGGTACCATGAAGGGTTTCCAAGCTCCTTGGCCTCGCGCTTGTATTTGTCCATCGTCCGCTCATCGACCATGCCGGTAGCATAGAGAATGGAACCACCAAGAGTCGACTTTCCAGCATCGACGTGGCCGATGAAAATAATGTTGACGTGCTCCTTGCCATAGATTTCCTTGAGCGTCTCTTCGTCAACGTCGGCTGTCTGCTCTTTCTGGACAGCATCGGCCTCGCGAACAGGACCCTTGCTGGCACCACCGGACGGGCTGGAACGGCCAGATGAGGGAGAGGGAGAGGTCTTGCCAGACTTAGTGGTCGAAACACCCGTCTTCTCAATAGCCTTTGTCGCTGTCGCCTTGGCCCCAGCCTCAGCAGCTGGGTTGATATCCTTCTTAGCCTCCTCCTTGGGAGCCTCCTTCTTCTCCTCCTTAGCAGGAGCGGCGGTACCGCCGATAGAGAGGACCTTGGCCTTGGGCTTAGGAGCGTCGCCGCCGATGCTCAAGACCTTGGCACCGCCTTCCTTCTTCACTGTTGGTTGAGGTGCCGGCGCGGCGGCGGCGGCAGCGGGAGCATCAGCCGGGCGCTTGACGATGGTGGGAGCAGGCTGCTGAGCCTGAGCCTGCGGCTGTTGTTGTTGCTGGGCATATTGCGGATATCCTTGACCTTGGCCTATGAGCTATCAGCAGAGGCCAAATGGTTAAGATGTCTGCATTGGAAGCAGACAGAGATGATTTACATACCATATTGTTGCTGGTAGCCACTGTAGCCTTGCTGCCCGTACTGTGAGTTGTATCCCTGTTGGCCGCCATATTGAGGGTAGCCGCCGCCGTAGCCTTGACCGTAATACTGCTGGTATTGAGGGGCGTAGCCACCGTACTGCTGGCCGGGCTGGAAGGACTGAGCTCCAGGAGTGAAGGAGGATGCGCCTGGACGGAAGGAGCCAGCCTGGGGGTTGTGTTGGTTGAGGTTAAGCTGCTGCTGAGCCTGGCGCGACAGGTTGTCGTCCTGGGCAGCCGGATCGTCTTCCCACGAGTTGAGGTTCGACATATTGATAATCTGCGGCGGGGCGGTCGATGTATCGATGCGGGCGAATGTCGAATTCGGGGGTTTAGAGGGGTTGGAGGTTAAGGTGAGGTGGTGAGCGGATTCGGGGAGATGCGGTCAGAACTGGAAGTGGGATGGGACGTTAACGAGATGCGCCCAAGAAAGATTTAAAGAGGGGCTGGAGGGTTATTTTTTCCAGCAGGCAAAAGGATACACCGGGGCACAGGACACAGAGCACACCGGATACATTACCTTGAGGGAGGCGAATGAAAGAACCCAGTGACTGCAATCGGGCTGGAATGACTCACTCTTGGGTTAAGGCCAATATACCAAGGTGCTATTCCAAGGCAACAGTGCTGAACAGAGTCCAGCCTTTCTTTTACGATGAACCTAGGTCCTTTTTTTGCCCTTTCTCCTGCGCTGTCTGTAGGAAATCTGGCACACTAGTACCTAGGTATGGTCAAGTTTTGCAGAGTCGAGACCCGATCCACCCCAAGGCGGGGTGCTGCCTTACCTACCTGGGCGGCTTGAGTGACGTCGCACTGTATCCAAGCCATTGAGTGTGAGGGGTAATTGTGCCGCCTGCATCCACAGTGCCCCTCGCTGAGGCACGTGAGAGGTATGGGTTCACACTGTCCTGCGCACTGGACCCCTCCACCCTAATCGGGCACCTGCGCTTGCTTGCATCGTCACTGGCCCATTTCTCTCACCTATGGCAACCTGAGGTACCTTGCCCTGCCTCAGGATCCCGGTCACGACCAGGTGCAAGTGATTTTGATTTCTCCCTTTTCTTCAATGACCAAGAGCTTGTTGCCCGACACTTATTCTTCGCTCCGCAATCTCAATCTGCGGGCCAGGACCTTACTTGTTGTTGCACCCTACCGGCTTTTTGGAACAGCATGGCAGTTGCTGAGTCGCAGCAGCAGCAGCCATGGACGCCTTACTCACAAAACTGGGAGCCCAGGCCATGAACATGGCCATACGGTCAGGTATAGCTCTGACCTCGACATACGCCTTTTCCCAGTGTTCACGCCTGATGAAGACGGTGGATGACAGAGCTGTTCGGTCGGAGCTGAAGAAACTCCAGAAAACCCTCGACAGCAAGATTAAGGTGGGCGTTTGCCATGAAGGCCATCAGAGCGGTGTGACTAACACGCCTCTAGGTCGTCTCTCCAGCCATTGATCTTGTTGAATTCAAGTAAGAACTCGTCGAGCAACATCAAGCTGACACAAGCCGCTAAGCTCCTTCTAGGTCTGGAAGAGGCAATGCCTTCTTGGAGTCCGCTTTACCCCTGGCCAAGGGCCTTCATCAGGACATCATCGCGCTCGGCCGTCGCGTAGAGCAGGCTGCTGAAGCAGGAGAAGCACCTCATGCCGCCGTCCGGCGCAGCATCGATGGAGAGCAGCAACTTGCCGAACTAAAGGCCATTATCAACGACATGAAAGATCTCCTCGCCCGTATCGACAGAGATATACCGCTCTTGCACATGGCTATCACTGCGTCAGGTGAAAGTCTAAACTCGTCAATGTCTCCCAGCATATCTCCGTCTAGACTGTTGCAAGCCGGCATGTTTCTGACATTTGGAGACACTCAATATGCTGCCGACCCATCCCGGCCGGTACAGATAGGTCCGGCTTTCACTTTGTCCCTTTACATGCTGTTCATCGGCCACGCTGCACCACATCCCAAAGACCGACTTGAGAAGATGGAAACCCATCCGAGCACACCTCAAAAACCGTCCCGCAGCCCTCTTGGAGTGTCGACGGAGGCATATGGGTTCGAAGAGGGCGACAGGAAACCAGTGTGGCAGGAAGTCATCCACAAAGCCAGAGTGCGACTGTGCCGGACGCCAATGGACCACGTTTTTGATGCCAACAAAGGTTTTCGAGCGGGGCGTACAAGGGGCCAGACCTTTGGTGAATCTCACCCCTTTGGTCCGTCTCGTCCCATGGGGCAGCACAATGAGTACGCGTACCACTTGGAGATTATAGAGGACCTGGCCGACGGCCGTGTCCATGACGAATTGGATGCCCATGCGGCCGCCTACGACGATATCAGCTGCGCAGGTATACGGGAATCCATCCCAATTCATCAAATTGCAAAAATATTCTATGCCGACACGGGCAGGATTCTAAACATTGGCAGCGATGGCCTGGACAATAATCCGGTTCTTTTGCTGAAACGGGACATACTTGCAAAGCCACCGTCACAGGTCCAGGAAGAGATGATGGTATATAGCGACGATCCTGCGTCTAGGACGGCGTCCGAGACTGGGAGCAGTTTTGGTGATCAAGATGAACAGGATGACATTGACCGGCAACTCCGTGAAGAAAGCGCTGCGCTTGACACCCTGGAGGAACTACCTAAGTCGCCGATGGCTCCAGTCAGGAGGCAATTTCCCCGCCATTTGGACCCTGAATGGATTGCCTTGGAGGTTTTTGAAGAAGACGAGGCAGAGAGCAGCGAGACGGAAGACGAAGAATTCGTGGAAGAGGGAGGAAAGTTTCTCGGAGTATCGACGACAACATCTGCTGCTACACCGCCTGCTGCCAACTCTCGGGGGGCAAGATCTTCGTTAGACTCGAGGCTCGTAGCCCAGATCCAAAACATGTCGATGCAGTCGTCGTCTCCCGTTAGAGACGTGCGAACGCCCCCGCATCCCTACACTCCGGACTTGGCGCATCGTACAATGGACAATATGGATTCTTTTGTGCAGCGCTCGCCTTTCGGCGCGGTGACCACATCGTTGTCCCTGATGGAGATGCTCATCAGGCTTACAAGTTTGCAAGAATTCCAGCAAGCATCACATCTAACAATTCACGACCACATCCTGACATTTTTCCTTGAAGAGACGTCGACGACCGGGTTAAGAGGAGAGGAACAGCTACGGGCTAGAACGGAAGCGAAGCGGCGTGTTGGTTTTGACCCATACACTGATACCCCATCTAGATGATAGAATTGACGCAATAGACATGAGTATATGGCCAAGGTCCTCTCCTTTACATCGTAACGATCAGTAAAGAGTCTTGGCGACCAGTTCATCTCGCGCGATAGTCATGACGAAGAAGAAGACGACGACGTGACAACGATAATAAAGACGACGATGGTAGCGATAGAAATCAAGATACATGCCATTAGAGGCGACGACGACAATAGCGGGCACACTGGGAACGTAGCCTGGGAAAGCTCATCGTAGTAGTTGGACAACGCCTCCTACTCTTTGGATCTCCACAGATTATGGTAAAAGGAAAGTGAGCCCTTACGATTAGCGGGACTCATCCACATTTGTACGCCCAGTGCCTTCCACTCCTCTACATGCAAGAAGATTGATTAGATGAGGCAGAAGGCACAAGGATGTATACTCAGCACACTGCCTTAGTCAGCCACACATTGCACCGCCACAGGGACCCTCGCTAGCTCCGTTCACCACCGTTGTGTGGTGGCGTCGACCCCGTTGCCCATCCGTTGCTGGGGAGAGAGATTATGTCATTGGTAAACGTGGTAGGCGGTACTTCGTGCATTCACTCTGGTACATACCCACGCACAATTACCCCAATCCTGCACCCATTTACACGTCGCACCTTTTCTGGACGTGACGAGAGAGCTCGCGATAGCCAAAAGCCCACAGACTTTGGAGACCAAGCTTTGAGCTTTCCAGGCTAAATTCGCTGCTCACCAGTCTCTTATGAAGTAGGTTCATCCCACACTCACTTGTTTTTTTTTGTTCCTTTTTGGGGAAATATCCCCACGAAGCTCGGTGTCACTGACACCTCCTCCAACATAACAGAAAGCCTGGCGCCGACTTTTGCTTTCGCCCAAGAAACAACATAACTCGCGAAGAGCAATCCAGCATCTCCAGGTCACCGTGCAAGCAGCCGCCGCTGTCCATCCCTACAGGCGAGGACCAGTCGCGGTGTTCATACAAAACAATCATGGTCAATCAACGCCATCCCGTCAAGGGCCCTTTGCGCCCAATCAACCCCAACGACGACTCGCACTCCTCTGGCAGTCGCGAAGTGCCGAAGACATCAACAACTGGCAAACAGGCTTATGGCACACAGAATAGCTCTGCGAGGCCCCAGAGCCGTGGCACACCCTCCTTAGATCCCGATTCGCTATCCTCCAGATTCGATGCTATGCGTGTGTCAACCACGCCCAAGGGCAAGCCGCCGCCAAATGCTACTAACATGTCTGCTCGCCGCATGCCACCTCCACAACGGTCAGACAGCCCCGACGTCGTTGAAATCACCAGTGTCGATTTCAAGCAACCGTCATCGTCAAGACCAAGCTCCAAGGAAAGCCAACCCAGTCAATACGAGCAATCGATGCTACACTCTGAGGCCCTAGAGTCGTTCTTTTCAGACACCAAGCGGCACGACCCCTTTCATCCTTCTTCGTCCCCACGGCCTGTGTTTGGCCACCCGACCAAGATAGTGTCGTCTCTTAAGCAGAAGGCGGCAGGCATCTTCAACGAGCGGACGTCTCGACCCGAGCATCATAGAGCTCAGCAGGTGTCTGTGCCTGCCGTCCCACTGTATCAAGACCAGAAACCTGCGCCTCTCACTCTCTACAGCTCTATCGGACCCGATGCGAACCCTTCCACATATCGACCGACCGGCAACTTTGGCGATACCGATTTCTACACCGATCCAGCCAAGGCTTCTGCGGACTTGAAAGCACTCCTGGAGGGCGGCATGGAAGATGACGACGAGGAGGATCAGGAGAAGCAGGATACAGAAAAAGACGGCAAAGACGGCAGTATGGAAGGTCTCAAGGTGAAACTCCTGCCTCATCAAGTCGAGGGTGTCGAGTGGATGAAAGGCCGTGAACTAGGACCTGTCAAGAGAGGCAAGGTTCCCAAAGGAGGTATCCTGGCAGATGACATGGGTCTTGGCAAGACTCTCCAAACAATCGCTCTCATCCTGAGCAATCAGAAGCCTTCCAAGGGCGAGAAGGGCTACAAAAAGCATTTCGATGGCATTGAGAAGACAACATTGGTCGTAGCACCTCTGGCCCTGATCAGGCAATGGGAATCAGAGATCAAGGAGAAGGTGGTGAAATCGCACGGATTGAAGGTATGCGTTCACCACGGGCCTCAGCGTACCAAGCGCTTCAAGGATCTCGCGCTGTACGACGTTGTCGTAACCACCTATCAAGTGCTCGTCTCCGAATGGGGCCACTCGTCAGAAGACGAGAACGGTGTCAAGGCAGGATGTTTTGGTCTTCACTGGTGGCGTGTGGTCCTTGATGAGGCTCACACCATCAAGAATCGCAACGCAAAGTCGACAAAAGCTTGCTATGCTTTGCGATCGGAGTACCGTTGGTGTTTATCTGGAACACCAATGCAGAACAACCTTGAAGAGTTGCAGTCTCTGATCAAATTTCTCAGAATTAAGCCCTACGACGACCTCAAAGAGTGGAAGGAGCAGATTGAGAAGCCACTCAAGAATGGTAAGGGTCATGTCGCTATTCGTCGTCTCCACAGCCTGCTTCGGTGCTTCATGAAGCGTCGCACGAAGGAAATTCTTAAGGAGGAGGGCGCCCTCAATCCTGGTGGCAAGCCGACCAAGGAGGGCGAAAAGTCCAGTACCGGCTTTAAGGTCACCGAGCGCAAGGTTGTGACGGTTGCCACTGCATTTTCCCCCGCAGAACGCCGCTTCTACGACAGACTGGAGGCTCGAGCTGATGAGAGCATCGAGCGCATGTTGAAGGGCAAGGTGGACTATGCTAATGCTTTAGTCCTGCTCCTGCGACTTAGGCAAGCTTGCAACCACCCGAAGCTGGTCGAGGGAAAGCTTGACAAGGACAAGGATGCACTTTCGACCGACGCGGGCCAGAAGAAGGCACCGGCAGATATCGACGCCCTCGCCGACATGTTCGGTGGCATGGGCATCGTCACAAAGACCTGCGGCATTTGTGGCCGGGAATTGCCCAAGGATATCGCCAAGAGCGGGCAGGATACTTGTCAAGAATGTTACGATGATCTTGCATACTTCAAAGAGCATGAGACGCCAAAAAGAAAGAAGCCCAAGCATAGAAAGGGCAAGCTGGGCAAGGTGATGAAGATTGTGGAGCAGAGTTTGGTTGCGGATGATGAGGACGAGAGCCCACAGAAGCCCAAGTCTCGGCGGCCTAAGAAACGCAATGTGGTCATGGATAGCGACGACGAGGAGGCGGAAGGTGACTGGCTCGTTCCCGAGAACCAACAAGGCCAGCTGCGGATGGGCAAGGCCGGAGGTGAGGAAGATGAGAACGCAGAGGGTGGCGGAGACTGGATCGGATCTGAAGACTCGAGACACGGGTCCGAAGATGAAGACGACGGCAGCAACATTGATAGCTTCGTTGTCAAGGATGATAGGGTCAAGCCCGAGGACGTGGATGATAGTCTTGCTTCAGACGACAGCCTTCCCTCGATAGCAGCGATAGCATCGCAGCTCGATGAGGAGCATCGGTCATCCCAGTCCTCTGAGGGTGACTCCGAGTCTGATTCGGAAGAAGATACCGGGGTCGACGAGTCGGAAGTGTACTCTGACCGAGACTCACGTTACAAACCTAACGGCCAGGTATCGCAGATTCTTGCGTCCGCCAAGATCCGCCAAATGATGCAGCTGCTGCACAAGGAGACCGACGAGCACAAGTTCATTGTATTCTCGCAGTTCACCTCAATGATGGACCTTGTAGAACCCTTCTTCCGCAAGGAGGGCCTCAAATTCACGCGCTATGACGGCAGCATGAAGAACGACGAGCGCGAGGCTAGCTTGCACCGCCTGCGCAACGACAAGAACACGCGCATTCTGCTTTGCAGTCTCAAGTGTGGCAGCTTGGGCCTCAACCTCACTGCAGCCACCCGAGTCATCATTCTCGAACCCTTCTGGAACCCTGTAAGTTGGACCGATAGACACGCTTTGTCTGTAGCCTAAGTTGCTAACATATAATCTTCCCCTCAGTTTGTCGAAGAGCAGGCCATTGACCGAGTTCACCGCCTCACACAGACAGTCGACGTCGTCGTCTACAAGCTCACCGTCGAGAAGACGGTAGAGGAGCGTATACTTCAGCTGCAAGAGAAGAAGCGTCTGCTCGCCGAGACGGCCATCGAGGGAGGCATGAAGAAGGACGCGTTCAAGCTTGGCTTCAAGGAGATCATGGACCTGTTCCGCCGCGATGACTCTCACGGTGCCGGTGCCGAAAATCACGACAACTATGTCGACCAGTCGCGCAGCACTTCGGCGCGAACCAGTAGACAAGGCTCCCCCGAGATCGGAATGCTGCAAAAGGCCCGCAAGGCGCCGAAGAAGGCGGAACACGAGATGTTTGGTCGCCGATGGTAGGCGAGACAAGACTCGGCCGTACCATTTGTCTCACATTTTTCATGCTTAGATGGTGAATTCGGTGATGATGGCGGAAGGATAGACTGGGCAGAGAAGGAGAGGCTTTGTCGCTAAGATTCATCCCATCACAGCATTCAGGCGTACTATGATAAGGGGAGGGAGGCATATGCAGAGTAGCATCCCTGCGTGGCGTCTATGGTGTTTTACGGTGTTCGTCTTAGCCCATGGTTTATTATGAAACGAAGACAAGAATCATTACATGCAGGGAAGGAACAATAGCGACGTCTTTGATCGAAAGCGAGCCTCCAGACCGCAGGGCAAGTTGTGCCAGACAAGAGATCCGGCCGGCTCCAACCTAGAGAGCTGCCCGAAACTCTTCCAAACTCCAAGTATCAAGCGTGACGAAGTAGACACGTGGAACATATTTTTGATGTTAAGTATGGTACAGATCCTAATTACGTACTGATCAGCCCCCTTCCCCGTCATGCCTTTCTTTCTTGATGTCCAGTCAACAAATTGCTAGTTGTGGGTATGAATGAGGCTCTAAGGACCTAGCGGGTTACATTCGTTTCTCCCCTTGCACTTTCATTCGCGCTCCTTGAGCCAAAGCATTGAAAAATATCACTGCCAAAAGACCTCCCATAGAAGATGGTGGAAAACTTCGCTAGCGTATCAAAATGAATGTCGTCATTAAACCAACTTGTTCCTTCCTTCTAAACTCAATATCTCAGTGAGTGGCAGGCTCCATTTCGACTCGTTCCTGCTCTAATAAACACCACTTTGGCGGTAGTAATCGTGGGCAGGAGGAGCACTCGGACCATCTGCCGCAGCACCAGGAGGAACGTATGCCCTGTACTGCGGCTGTGCTCCCTGGCTCGGCAGGCTCTGTCTGGCGTCATAGGCAGCTCCGCCGGGCTGCAGGGGTGGCGGTGTCAGGACTTCAGATCGAGCAGAGCCCGGAATCGACGGTGCCGCTCCGGTCGGCACCGGAGGAGGGGCTTGTGTCGGAGCGTTGTTGTAGTTGTCCTGGCCCTGAACCCCTGGGGGCTGGTAACTTTGATACTGTGGTTGTTGCGGGGCAGATGGCGCAGACGGTTGCGATGGTTGCGCTATCGGCGCTGATGGTTGGAAGGAAGACGGCGGCGGCGCGGGTACGGTGGTGTTTCCTACGACTGGACTAGAGGTGTTGTTGCTGTTGTACGGATCATCCTGAGAGTAGACCGAGGATGTATACGTCGCGGCTGAGCTCGGGTTGTGGGCCGCGATGGGCGAATCGTAAACAGAGGTGGCCAGCTCCTGAGCACCGTATGTGCTCTGGGGTCGCTGGTTAGGAGGCTGCGAGTAAGCAGTGTAAGCGTTGGCTGTAGGAGGAGGCGATGTGTTAATTGGTGCCGGGGCTTTCCCCGTGGACGGAAGGCGGGGGTTGTGTTCACGCTGGGGATACGGATGGTTTTGCGCGGGAGGCGGACCACCTGCTGAGGGCACCTCGGCCCCGGCTACGTAGAAAGGAGCGGGTGTCGCTTGTGCCGGACGCTGGAAATTCGGCGAGGGCGTAGACTGGGGGGGGTATTGTGGTTGCTCTATATACAACTAGTCAGACTCGATGCACTTCAAGTGGCATTCAAGGTAGTTCACCTTGGGGCGCGGGAGTGTAGAATCTTTGCTCCTGCTGCTGTTGGGAAGGACCCTGAGCAGGATACCCTGCCGCTGGCCCGGCTGAGCCTGGATACCCGCCGGGGCCTGGCCTCATGGAGTATTGATGGTAGCTAGGCTGGGGAGGGTGTGACATGGAGGATTCCAGTAAGGACTCGTAGTCACGGCGAGCCTTGATGAACTTCTCGTTCAGCTGCGTGAAGTCATCTGTTGAGTGTTAGCTTTGGGTGCCTACGACAAATGGTGGAGGGCATTCACCCTTCTTCTGAGAATACTTCTCAATAAGCTTGATCAGCTTGGGCCGGATAGCTAAGGTCTGGTGGTAGAGTTTCTGCGGAGGTGCTATTAGTCAACTGTATGTGCCCTCGGCTGACAGCCGGCCTTTAACTTACAGAAATCTCCTCGTTATCCTCCTCTCGCGGCGCCGTGTTGGATGTGCTCAGCAACGTCAGTAGCTTCTCGACGTTCTTGATCTCGGCAAACACCTCGGCCTCCATCTGAGCCTCGCGGGCCAACTCGTCGGGGGTGGGATCTGTGAGTTTCTCAACGTAGTTGAGAGGGAAAATACCCGTCTTGCCTTTGAGCGAACCCCGCCACCAATCCTTGTAGACGGACTCTAGCACCGCGATGACGTCGCCCTTTTTGAACTCCAACTCACCGGGCTCTGACGGAACGAAGTCGTACAGCGCGCGGACCCTTGATACGGTAGCTGCTGTCGTGCCCGCGGGCACAGGTGTGGGTTGACTTTGGGGCTGAGGCTGGGGCTGGGAGGAGGATCCTGGTGCAGCAGATGAAGAAGAAGCAACGGGCTCGGCAGCCTTCTTCTTGCGTTCCTCATCCTGCAGCGACAACTTCAGAGCCATCTGCAGCTCGTCCTCCTCTTTCTGGCGATCTAGATCGGTCAAGCCTGTCTTCTGGGGGGCCGAGGGGGCTTGCAGGGTGGGATTGCTCTGCTTTAGTCGGAAGTAGGCGTCGTACATGATGCCAAGGTCTGCATCTTTGCTGAACATGTCGGACCATTCCTTCATGCGCTCAAGAATCTTGGCCTTGACTTGATTATGGGTGTTGCGGTCGTTTGCGAGTTTGAGCATGGCATCAGTGAATGCTCGGCTGGAGAGCTCTCGGTGCATGTTCTTGCCACAGTTCTGGCTAAGGGCGTTTGCGAGCTGGTGTAGTGGCGATGAGGTCAGCGGTTGGCTCTGTGGGCTGGAAATGACGATGATGAGAAGCGGGGAAACTTACCTCGAGAGTATACAGCTGGACGTTAGCGTTGCGATGGGCCAGACGCTTGATCATGGCTTGTACAACCTCCTTGGGACCATTTTGATCGCTGCCGACACGGTCGCAAACCTCGATAATGGCTCCCCAGTCTTCCGAGGTTAGGTTCTCATCGGTCGCCTTGGCTAGACGGAGGACACAGGTTAGCGAGGTGACGCAGCAATCAAGATACCGATGGCACATACCGACGCCCTCGTCGAAGGGACCAGCAGCTGCTGCTCGGAACATTTTGGGCAGAAGCTATGAGCCGCCGCAAGTGGTCTGTACTGGTGATTAAGTTGGAAGATGTGTCGCGACAGGCAGTTGGGTATTCGGTGCTTAGTGCCAAGAATGTCGGCGACGAGGCAACAGTGATGAAGCGTCTCGAAGTAGTGGTGAGCAGTGGTGATGGCAGGGGCAAGCAAGGTAGGTGGTGTTGATGTTAGGTGGGAGAGGTTCAGCCAAATGAGGTAGGTTTGAAAGGTATTGGGGCCTAGTCGGACGTCTGGCCGGTCGAACAGCCTCGCTGGGTTTGTTTGTCGGTTGATGTCCGTCCCGTACTCCACAAGGTGCGGCAAGGAAGGCGACAGGTAAGGTGAAATCGGTCACCGTAAATGCGAAGGCATGTATTCAGTAATGGGTACGTAAGGTCGTATGCGGTGCCGTTGGGTATTGTTGGATGTCGAAGGGGCAAGTTTACGCTCAGGTAAGGTAGCCGCAGGTTAAAGCAGGCAAGGTATTCGTAGGCAGGTAGGTAAGGAAGGTATGGGGGGGGGGGGGGGGGGGGGGGGGNGGGGGGGGGGGGGCGGACGGACCGACGACAGACATGGACATTGAAGCAGGTGCTGGGCATACCTGAAGGTACCTTAGCATGAAGTGGGCAGGTGCCTATGAGAGGTACTTTTTAGCTGCCAAATGCGCGGATAGTGACCTGCATCGCAGCCAAACGCGGACAGGTTCTCCGCAGGCCCACTACCTGAGGCACCTCACCTTCACGCTGGGCCCGTCGTCATCATCAACCCGCACACTAGGTAATATCTGGCGTTGGGCACCTGGAGGGGGCTGAGTGGTGTTTCGCCCACGAATTACGCGGACTGCGACTGCGACTGCGTCCGCGACGCCGCACCGCCACATCTGTGGACTGGTTCCATGTCGTCTCCTCCACCAGATTCCGTGCATTCGTCAACCCATATCCTGTCCGCAACGCCCTTGAATAGAAACGCTAGAATTGTCGTTTAATCAAAGCCGCGCCAATACGATGTTGCTCATTTTGTTTCCGCTCGAACCGGTGCTTGCTGGCTAGTTTTTAATTTACTTATGGTTCTCAAGAAACCCTGCCTCCCGTTGCAGACTTCCATAGCTTGTTGAATGTTGTGGCCCATCAACCTAAAATAGCATGAGGTCGGGTCTGGGCTTTTTGTCTCGAGAGAAACGAAGAAGAACGCCCAAGCGACCTCAACCATACTGCGCCGTACGTGCGCCACACACACGATCGGGGAGGGGGGGAACTTCAAGCCACATCCGCGACCCTCCACCCTGGGCAGTTGCTTGCTTCTGTCTCTCTGATACTCTTCGCCGTCGCCGTCGCCGTCGCCGTCGTCTTCTTGATTGTGTCCAATTACCGGAATCCGCAACTGTCCTCGATCGAACCAAATTTTTAACCTTCCAGCTACTAGCCAGTCATTAGCCTGCCAGTTTTCTAGCAGTCAAGACGACGACATAGAAGGCGACAGAGAAGGTAGCCAACAGACACCAGGGAGCACCGCGGAGCATGGTCCTTTTCGACATGCTTGCCTTCCCCGTGCCTTGTGTGCGCATGCAGTGACGACGAATGACTCGACGGAATTCTAGAAAAAAACCACAAGCACTGCAAGACGAAGACATCTCTCTCCCTAGACTAGCCTCTGTGTCTACGTCAACCTCAGACGAAGCGCATTGGCATCAGCGTGTGTTCCTCAACCCAAACCACCCAATTGGAAGGATATCTTCATCATTCATCGTCGTTTGTTCCATTGTGCCTAAGCTACTACGTAAGCTTATTTCTTTCGACTTTGGTGCTGTGCAAAGTGGCGATGTTGGATACCCTGCCCCGTATGTGTACATCTCAGTCTTTATACATTCTCTATCAAATCTGTAGCCCTTAACCCCCCTTTACTCCTGTCTTCTCTGCTGCCATGTTAAAACCTTGGCCAGCGTGCAAACCGACCAACCAACCAAACGCCAGAGTACCTTACTGCCCAATCATGATGTATGTGTAATGGAGCATTCATTCCTGGCAAGCTTGTGTTCTTGCTGTCCTGCCGTCCCGGTTGGCAGTGCCTATCACCGGGGGCTCTGGAGATTCCACTGAACTGCTAAGTGTCCGTAGTGCTCTGCGTCTCCGTACTCTCGATCGCCAGTGATACAGTTGTCTGGCTCAACAAAAACGTATCGTTCACCATCCTCTTCGGCTGATGCCACGAGGTTCAAAATCGCCGCGGCTTCCCGAGCCAGATCCCACGTTGCCTCCACCCCGGCCTTCCTCCAAACTTCGACGTGACTGCGCGTCCATTTCCGACATATCGAAAAGTAGAGGCTCTTCGTCCATAAGGTCATGTTCGCCGCGCCCGTAACGCCCGCTGGATCCCGTAAAACTACCTCGTGATGACTGAGGAGGTGTTTGCCCGCGGCCGCCTGTTGATCCCATACCGGCATACCGGCGTCTGCCAAAGGGCGAGCTGGACGGTGCAACAGCCATCAGGCCACCTGGTGGCTTGGATCCTTCAGAAGAGCCTTGCCTGATCATGTCCGCCGAGCCTGAAGACTGTATGTCGCCGCTTGGCTGCAAAGATGCCCCCTCTCGTCGAGAAGACGATTCCGCCTCTGTTTGTCTGCCCAGGAGCATGCTGAGCGTCGGTGGCTCGCGGTCTTCTGCACCTAAGCTGATGCTGCGGTTGGCCGCAAACGCGAGATCGCCATCGTCGTCATCTGCTAATGCCCGATTTTGCTGCGCAACAGAGCTTGAACGTCTCGGGTGTATGCCGATCCTCGGAGAGATGGGAATGTCAATTGCAGTGGTGCCATCTTGAGTGATGGTGTCTTCCCTGGGCATCTGCGTTGTGTCGCCACTAGCATTCCCACGCTCGCTGCGGGGCTGACTGGTGTTGTAGTTGATGATCGAGTTTTCACTCAAACGGGAAGGTACGGCTGGGGTGTGCGGCGTGTGGGGGGAAAGAGGCTTTCCTGGTGAGGACGACACTGAAACTGACGCTGGCGCGGCCATGCTCGGCACATTCGACAATTGCCGGCTAGAAGAGCTTGATGATCGATGCATCTGCATTGAAGACGTCATGGAATCTGTGAGCGCGTTGTTGGACTCTTTCATCATGTGGAATCTGGACAGCTGAGCAACAGTCCGGTTTGTTGCCCATTCGCCCTTCTTGCTGGGCTCGAAGCTTTTCAGCGTCTTCTTGCTGTCCAACGCTTTCAAGAATTCAGAGATCTGGTCGTCGTCTGTTTGGAGTGATCCGGAGCTACCGCCCGCTCCTGCTTCAGCAAGAAGACCAGAGCCAGGCTGGGCCACGGACGACGAGAGGCTTTGGCGGCCACTGCTGCTTTGCTCGTCATCGCCTGTCCTGCTGGGACCGCCGTAGGATAGCTTCCCCTTGCGATGGGTGAAGCTGCTGCTGTAACGACTGGTCGATGAGGGTCGAGGAGAGCCCAGAACCGGGGCATCGCCGGGTTGAGGGCCGCCGCGCAGAGAAGCAGGCATACCTACTGTCAGTGATCTGCGGTTGCGGGGTTGGTTGAGCGCGTTCAGAGCAGCAGCTCGGGATGCTGGGGATGCTGGTGACTCGGAATCCAACGTACGGGGCACAGGCGACCCGGAGAGGGAACCTGCTTTGAAAGGCTGAAATGAAACAGATGGTCGGCGGCCAGTGCTGCTGAAGCCCTTGATGGATGGTCTTGCTGCCAAACCGGAGACAGGTAAGGAGCTTGGTGGATTTGGCTCGATACTTGGAGGGGTGGATTCTGGCGGTGAACTTGTGTCGGACCCAGGAGCTCGCACGGCTTTCAAGGCTGATATGGGGCTGGTGCCCAAAGGACCATCGCCGTGAAAGGTTGAAAGACTGCCATATGTCTGGTGTATGTCTGACAGATTCCGGCTGCGACGATGCGATGGAAGGGACCCAATTTCAGGGTCGATTCTTCTGCTTTCTCTCCTTTGAGGTAGCGACGGCTTAAAGAAGTTCTCATCCACGCCCATGAAGCGAGAGCTCAAAAGCGACTCAGAATCATCCACCCGGAAGTTGCACTCATTCCTGTATGTTACTGAAGCATAGAAGCGGCCCACGGGAATTTCCAAGTCGCCAAACACGTAATCGGTCACGACATCCGGGCGGCCGTCATATAGCGGATGCCGAAGCCGGTCGATGCCATCACTCTCTGGCTCGCCGGTTCGAATGCGACACCGCGGCTCTAGCGACGGGTGAACGCCTTTGCCCAGCGAGTGTTGCGAGAATTTCCAAACTGGAAGAATTCTTGCCGCAGCGTAGAGCGAACGGAAGAAGACAATGCTCTTCTTGTAAATGGTAGGTAATGTTGGACCAAAGTCATCAAGATCGTTGGTTGGTATCGTTTTCAACTCGATGCGCCATCTCTCCAAGATGACTTCTGTATTCCTCTTGGCAGGCGTGGGACGACCGTCGTCACTCTCGGACGAATTTAAAGCCTCCATAACATCCCATCTCTTCCCATTTTCGTCGACAATAACCAGACTCTGGCTCGGGGTCAGGCGCGAAGTGTCGAGGTATGTCTCAATAATCAGAGGCGGTGGTGTATTCTCGAAGCCGCCGCAGTTCCTCCAGACGCGCAGCTCGTCTTTGAAGTCGTCGAACTCTTCGGTCTCAATTTGAAACTGCGAGAAACACGAAATCAGCATGTCTCTACCCATGTCAAACGCATGACCACAGTGACTCACCCATTTATTCAGCTTCTTGCTCCCAGGCCCGCGAGTGTGGTATGCTGGCTTCAGATCTATACGCGATTGGAGGACGACTGAAGCGGCCTTGGTGTGGAAGTTCTACCCAAAGTTAGCCCCCTTGCATAGGCCACTGTATCCCCGCGCCCTGCCTACCTGGATGATCTGGTCCAATTTCTTAACGGCGTCGGCTGGAGGACCAGCGCCCGGAGGAGTTTCAGCGGTCGAGGAGCTGGCAACGGCAGATTCTCGGCCAGAGGTTTCGGACGATGCTCTTGCGCGAGCACCTAGTATTGCTTCTCTCGGGTTATTCGTTCGGGACGGGTTCGTTTGAGGAGAGGAAGCGGGGGAGGAGACCCGCGGGGCGGGTCGAGCTTGTTGATGCATTTTGTTTGGGGTTGTGCGGCCCCAAAGGGCAAGGAAGGGTGGATGTTGATCTGTGAAGCCAACAGACACCTGCGTGGTTGTCGACGCAATGCTGGAAGCGCGATACAGGTGCGCCAAGTGGTTCTAGACGAGGAGTGGAAGGGTGTTCTTGGTGTCGACGTGGAGGCGGTACTGGACCTGCTCATCCATCCTTCATCACAGCTTAACGTCGTTGGATGTCTCGAGAAGCCTCAATTTCGAAGCCGTCGGCGGGGGGGAGAGAAGGGCGAGTCGAGGGAGCGGGATACGATGCGGCGAAAGGGCTCCAGTGGAACCCTTAGAGAGGGCGGGCGCGGCGCGGCGAGGCAGGCAACGGCGGGCAGGGCAACGTGAACGTGGGGACTCGAAGTAGATCGAGACGAAGGACTAGACGCCGGGGTTGTTGTTGGGTTGCCGCACGAGCAGGCCAAGGGGTAGCAGGCAGAGCTGCAGGGCGAAATGGACAGAGACGAGCTATGTTAGGCGGCCGTGGCTTCGACCATGGCTTTCGGTTGCCTGAGGTAAGCTTCGACGGCTTTGCAGAAACCGGGGACCTCCTCCCAAGCACGTCCTCCAACAACAAGCAAGCAAACGTCGCACAGATGGGAAGGACGGTGCCTTTCGCGTGTAGGTTGTTAAAGAACAGTGAGGGTCGATATGCAGAGAACTGGCGGCGCAGTGGCTGTCGAGACGGAGTCTATCGGTTCAGGTGTCATACGCTCAATGATTTGGGGTAGTGATGAGCCTCGTGATCGTGGACAGGTACCGTTCCGTCATCGAGTCACCTGCTGGGGCTGGGGGTTCAAGCAAGTGCTCAAGATCAAGTGAGAGCGGTGTGCTTGAGATAGGTTCGTAATGGGCCCGGAAATGAAAAGGACGGGCAAACAAGAAACAGGCAAAGATCAGACGGTATATGCTAGCTCGAGCAGAGAGAGACTCTGAGAGTGAGGATGAGGAAGAGAGGGCGAGAGGTAGCGATGTACTGCACTACTGGGCAAAGAGTTGAGCAGAGAGACGGTCAAAACTGGGAGACCGAGTCAACAAAAAGAACAAAAAAAAAAAAAACAAAAAAAAAAAAAACCCAAGGCGTGACTGGAAGGGCACGGGAACCGGAATTGATGATGCAGAGCGACGGAATGAAAGGGAACAGGCAAAACAAAGGGTTTGTTTTTGGCTGAGTGACGCAGAAGCCGTTAGACAGACAACAGAGAGCAGATGGGGAAGGGAGAGAGAAAGTCAAGAAGAGATGGGGAGCCAAAGTGAAGGAGAGGCAAGACGGATGACATGGATGTCTCTTGGTTCCTGGCCATGAGCTTGACAAGGTTTAGTTGGACTGGGCGAGCAAGCAAGCAAGCAGCACGGCGCGACAACGAGAGAGGTGGTGATGAGCGAATGCGTGCGTGCCTACCTCTAAGGTGCCTGCCTACCTAGGGACCGGGACTGCGACTATGACTGGGGGGACTGGGGGGATTGGGGGGATTGGGGGGATTGGGGGGAGGGGGTTTGTTGCTGCTGCACTGGTGCTCTAACAAGCATCCGTGGGCCACGGACCATGCACCGAGGCAGGTGTGGAGACGGGGAAGGGGACGAGCCTCCACGTCGTGGTCCACCTCAGTTGGTGTGAGTCCTGGCCCACAGCCAGCGCCAGCTGTGAGGGCGTGGTGGAGGTGAATCGTGACCTAGGGTGCAGGTGCAGGTGCAGGTGCAAGTGCAGGCAGAGGCGAGGCAGGCAGGTACCTAGCGATGAGATGGGACGGCGATGGAGACGGGAGGGTGCCAGACAGACAGGGGTTGCACTGTCTCTACCATGGTATCTTTCTGTCCTTCTGTCCATCTATCCTCTCTCTCTGTGTCCCATCTCTCTCTGGCTCTCTCTCTCTCTCTCTCTCTGCCTCCGTCTCTGTCTCTCAGCTGGTATTAGGACTTTCGTCCCCAGTCTCAACATGCAGCTACCCCAATTTCGTAACGCCGGGCCAAGACTGCGAGGTTGACGTGCCCTTTGGAGTCATCCTGCAAGCCTAACCAGCAAGACTCACCATCAGCAACACCAGCAGTCACTGTCATGCCATCCCCGATCCCCGATACGGCCGCCCCAAATCCACCTTGATTGGCTTGCCGCTGATTGCTTCCGCCATGCGTCCGAGGCAAGGGGGAGGACCAGACTGGGGGACACTGACAGTGTGTCTTGGACCACCCCGGACCTCACAAAGGCCTCGCCCTCAACCCCAGCCTGGAGCCTGAGCCTGAGCCGGAGCCGCACCTCATCGCCTCAGTCTCTTCAGTATTCTAGTTGGCTGCACCGCATCGCCATGGCACGGCGCACAACACGCAATGCTCCGCTGCTCTCTACGCAGTACCTTAGCTCACCACCGAACCCGCAGTAACATTTCATGCATGCGCTCTGAGGTGAGCCTTCTCAAGCAATGGAAACCAAGGTATCCGTAGTTGGGTACCGCATCCTCGACTGCCAGCTGACAACCAGCACGACAATACCAGACAAGGTTATCCATGGCAACGCACTCCAACGTATCTCGGCCCATCTTTGAGGACATCGGCACCCTTGCCTCATGCCTTGATGTTCTGCTTCTTCCACTTTCCCCTGATAGCCCCGTTCGCTGCGGCTGACTTGCCTCATCCCCTGTGTCATGACGGCCAGCAAGGTCGTCGTCGTCCACAGTGCCTCCACCATTGACCATTATCAGCAACAACAAGAACAGCCACAAAATCGTCAGGCAGCACGCAGGGTCCAAGATGGTTGTTGATACGACTCGCCTCAGACGCCATCTCTGGCCTAAACGATTCTACCGCCCGCCGGCCCTCGGTTGATCCCGGAAATCGGCTCTCTACCTGGCACTGGCACTGACACTGGGAGGTGGAAGCGTCCTGGCAACGCCCGCCTCCATTACCCCAACATCCCTTATCTCTCTCTCCTCCAGCTTCCCGTCCTCGGACTGTATGTACGGTCCCCAAAAAAAGAAGCACCATCTATCTGTCTTGCGACCTATTACCTCTCTCCGTCATTAGCTGGCTCACATCCATCACTACTTCATGTAGCGCCTGCGCCACCTGCGGCAGTCCAAATCAAGCAGCCAAGCGACCGAGTCATCTCAATGAACTAACGGCATCAACCAGCACGTCAACCTCCTCCAGGCTCCTCCTCCTTCTTTCCCTTCACAAGTGTTCCATCATTCCTTATCAAACCGCCCTCCACCTCATGGAACCGCCCGCCTCCCCGATAACGATAAGGTGAGCCACCCCCAGCCCACCCGACTCCACGTCCACTCCGCTCCAACGGCCAACACAACGCGAACCAACCAATCGTGAACCCACTTGCGGCACCCGACCCTGCTGCAGCAGGTGAGGTGACTTTTCTCGCTTCTCGCCTCCGCAGATCGGACCCAGTCCCGATGCCATTCGTCCTATCCGTACCCAACGTACCTTAGTGTGGTGTACTGCGCAGTATGTAAACTACGTACGCTATTTCCTACCGACACTTACGCAGCACCCGCCGCCCCCATCGATACGGACGGCATGGTACTTCTAAGGGAGCCCGCTGTTGAAGCTTACGATTCGGCGTAACCTTTCTTGGCAGTATTCATCGTCACATGGCGCAAACTGTCCTCCAACATGACTTTCGAGGCCCGTCACATTCCCCATGTTAGCGCTGCGGATTCTTCTCGTTTCCACTAGCACCACCATCACGAACACTGCCTGTTCAGATGGTATTTGCACTCTTGTGTGCGAGTGAAGTCTTTCTATTCTCTCTCGTGTCTTCTATTAGCCCATGGGGACGTTTCAGTTTTTGAACAAGTCCGCCCACAAAACTCATGTTGAAACCATCCATGCCTGCCCAAGTGTTCTGGTTTGGTTCCGTGAACTCCCCCCTCCCATAGACGCCTATAAAACAAGTAAATCAAGATGCCGATGCTGATGTCGATGCTTTACCACCCCTGCCACGTCCTCGGTGGCTCCGTCCTCGGGAGTTTCCGGACGCTGGCCCGCCCGCCGGTGGTTTCGGCGAACCAAGCGCCTCCGCGTTCCCAGGGCCGTCGCCTGAAGCCCCCGGCGGCCCGGTCCCTTTCCCCTTGCCTCCTCCCCGGCCTCGCCTTCCTCTTTTGCTGTCCTTCGAGCTCCTCTCGCCCTTGGCCTTCCCCTTGGCCTCTCGCCTGGCCTCTTCTTCCTGCACACGCCTCGTCTCCTGATCCCACCACTCTTGGAACTCCTGCTCCTGTTGAATCTCCTGCATCGACCTCTTCGCAACGGCCTCGCGCACGATCTCTTGCTCGCGCTTTTGTTGCCCGATAATGTCTGCCATACTCAGCCCCAAGGTGGGCTCCGCCTTGGGTGCTGGGGTGATGTACGATTTGGAGTGTGGAACGAGCGGCTTCGCGGGGGTTTGGCTCGAGGTGCCAGGGACGACTGGAGAGCTGCTGCCGCGAGACTGGCCCGGGAACCGCGTGTCGGGCGACGCTGCGCGTCTAGGGCTTGCCTTGCCTGGGGATTCCACCCCAAGCAAGGATGACTTGGCGGGAGGTGTAGGCTTCGGGGAGTCCTTGACCATGGTGTCTCTGAGAGACGTCTTGGGGCCGCTCTGCACTGCCTTCCACGGCGCCGTCTTGCCCGCGCCGGATTCCTTGTCCCACGCCACTTTGGGTTGTTGAGCATCGGCTTCCAGCACAGCCTGAGCTGCAGCTTGAGCCTGTTGTTGCTTTTTGCGCTCCTTCTGCGACATCTTTGGTTGAGCTGGCTTGGGCGAGGCTTCCTTGGTCTTCTGGGCGGCGATTCCAGCTGTTAAAGCAGACTTTGTTGGAGTCTCGGTCAAAACCTGTCGCAAGTCCATCCTTTCCATCTGAAATCTGGATGAGGCCCATGGATTACCAGACTTTGAAGCGCCGCTGGCACCGATGTCTTGAGGCGACCGCGATGGGCTAACACCGAACTGTGCACACCTGTCCATGGGAGGGCTGACAACCTGAAATTGA